TGCTGGGGTAATAGTATAGATTGTGAAGCGCTTAGAGCCTGCTGTTGAGCGGGGATTAGCGCCATACAAATGGTATCTGCTTCTATTACTATTATTAACTGAAGATTGAAGAACATTGAAGAATTGGTGGCACACTCTGTCGTCTTCCTTGTTCTGTGGAACAAGAGTCCGAGAGTCGTGCCTGTGGGGGTTTAGAGAGGAAGAAAGAAAAAGGGTTAGGGGGGGGGGAGGGGTAGGTGTACGGAATAGAGAAGTTCTACTTGTTGTAAACTCTGTGCTTGATCGGTCCGTGCCAATCGATAGCAGCAATAGGGCTCGTCTTGTTCTGGTTGGGAATTTGGCGGGGTTGTTTTTTGTTGTTGTTTTTTTTTTTTTGTTGTTGCTTTTTGGTTTTTGGCGTTTCAGTTTGGGCTTCAATGATTAACAACAAGGGGAGAGCACCAGTTCACCCAGCCACTGACGGAGAAAAAGTTTGATAAGTCGCAGCTCCCCCTCCCTGCAGTGCAAGACGGATGAGAGAGACAGAGAGACAGAGAGACAGAGAGACAGAGAGACAGAGAGATGGATAGAGAAAGAGAAAGAAAGAGAGGGGAGGAGTAGAACTCTGGGGAGAGGTGGTGAGTTTAGGGGGATGATTTCAAACTACTCTCAGACACGGGGTTGTTTTTTCGGCAGATATTTGCGCTAATATTGTAGAATCTATTACATCAAATTGAGTTTTGTGACCGCCATTATTTTTACGTCACGCTGAGAAAAGTTCTCGAACCACCGATAGATTGAAGGGAGATTACCGAGGGGAGGATTACTCTCTAGTTACGTCCCCTTGGTAAGGGCATCCGTGTTGCTGCTGTTGTCATTATTACGCAATTTGTCGTGGCTTGAAAAGTGGGTGGAAGTGAAAGAGAAAAGAGGGGTGGTGGAGGGGAGGTGGGTTGGTGGAGGAATCTTAAAGGTTGGTGAAATAGTGACGTAGGTGGATAGAAGAAAAGGAGGGATGATTATAGACAGACGAGCAGACAAGCAGAAAGACAGACACACACGCACGCACACGCAAACACAAACACGCGTGCTTGGGCGCTGACACACACATGAACAAGAGACTGTGGGAGAGAGAAAGGGGGAGGGGGGATGGAGAAGGATACTGAGAGAGAGACAGACAGAGAGAGGAGAGAGAGAGGGGGGAGAGAGGGGGAGAGAGAGGGAGAGGGAGAGAAAGAAAGAGAGAGGGAGAGAGAGAGA